CATAAACTTATGCATATGTATTTTCATATTGCCATAGGTGTATATTCAGAGTAAATACTTAGAATGCTTACTGGGCCAAAAGTAAACACATTTGAAGTTTTTTGGATACCTGCAATGTTTTAATATAGAGACTTAAAGTCGTTTTGCAATAATATTACTTGTCTATATAGGTGTTTTGTTTTAGATTTTGAATCAACAGACTTTGTCTTTTACCCAGCACAATTATACCTTAACAAATATGTGCTGGTGATTATAAGCAATTGAATAACGAAATTATTCCTAAGTAGTATTAGATTTTGTATTTATTTTTTATTTTTGAGACAGAGTGTTGTTCTGTCATCCAGGCTGGAGTGCACTGGTGCAATCTTGGTTCACTGCAACCTCCACCTCCTGGGGTCAAGCGATTCTCCTGCCTCAGCCTCCCAAGTAGCTAGGATTACAGGTACACATCACCACACCTGGCTAATTTTTGTATTTTTAAAGCTCATTATCACTGGTCATTAGAGAAATGCAAATCAAAACCACAAGGAGATACCATCTCACACCAGTTAGAATGGCAATCATTAAAAAGTTAGGAAACAACAGATGCTGGAGAGGATGTGGAGAAATAGGAATGATTTTACACGATTGGTGGGAGTGTAAATTAGTTCAACCATTGTGGAAGACACTGTGGTGACTTCTCAAGGATCTAGAGCTAGAAATGCCATTTGACCCAGCAATCCCATTACTGGGTATATACCCAAAGAATTATAAATCATTCTACTATAAAGATACAAGCACATGTATATTTATTGTGGCACTGTTCACAATAGCAAAGACTTGGAACCAACCCAAATGCCCATCAGTGATACACTGGATAAAGAAAATGTGGCACATACATACCATGAAATACTATGCAGCCATAAAAAAGGATGAGTTCATGTCCTTTGCAGGGACAAAGCTGGAAATCATCATTCTAAGCAAACTAACACAAGAATAGAAAACCAAACACTACATGTTCTCACTCATAAGAAGGGGTTGAACAATGAGAACACATGGTTACAGGAAGGGGAACATCACACACTGGGACCTGTCAGGGGGTAAGGAGCTAGGGGAGGGATAGCATTATGAGAAATACCTAATGTAGATGACGGGTTGATGAATGCAGCAGACCACCATGGCACATGTATACCTATGTACCAAACCTGCACTTTCTACACATGTACCCAGAACTTAAAGTATTTTTTTAAAATAGTATTTTTAGTAGAGAGAGGGTTTCGCCATGTTGCCCAGCTCGTCTCAAACTCCTAAGCTCAAAGTGATCTACCTGCCTTGGCCTCTCAAAGTGCTCTTGGTAACTATAAGCTACCATGCCTGGCCTTGTATTTATTTAATTAGTTTAGTTCCGAGAGTAATGCTGTACAAAAATAATGGAGGGAAGATCCCTTAGATATGAGAAACAATAAATACATAAGGATGGATCACATTCTGCCTGTGGGAATGATTGTGGATATATTTTTACATCTCCAAGAAGGACATATTTCCTCCCAGCAGAGTTGATGATCTGAAGTTGCTGGAAACATGATGAATAGTGAAGGGGGCAGGTCTGCCGGTGCTACAGGGCCTGGTTAATTACACTGTAAATCATGCAAATACTGACATGTTGAACAAAAAGCTTCTGCAGACATCTTCTCCTTCTCACCAAAAGACAGTTCCTTAAAAAAATAGGCACATTGGTAATTATCTCAAGCTGAGAATATACAAAATGCTGATATTAACCCCTAGAGACACAGAGAAGCTTGAGGGCTTTGAAGTCTGTAAGGCATTTAAAAAAAATGCTTTACAAATATGATTTATAAATTATATACTCTTGATTAAGCATTTTATTAGGAGGACAATCAAATCCTACTCCCCTTAGTCTACAATCAGTACTATAACATTATTCTAGAATTTTATTATTTGTGTCTTTCTTAGAGCCTTTCCTCGTATAGAGTCTAGGGTTCACAAATAGTTCTCTATGCCTTAGAAAGGTAAATGTTTCATTTGGAAATCTTTGTGAGATCTGGGCTTTCACAGATAGAAATCAAAGATAGGAATCATCCTCTACTCCACTCCTGACCAATAATGTCAGCAAATCCTCCCTTGTCCCTGTGTCTATTCCACAATAAAAGCAAAAGAATATCACCATGGTGTACATACTGATATTTTACCACTTTTGTGTTACCATTTATACTGTGACCATTTGATTCACATGGCATCTTCCAGGTTGCTCCACTGTAAGTTTTCTATTTTTCTCTTTGTAATTAATAAATACCTTGTGGGACATACTTGGTGATTATGTAAATAACCTGTTTCTCAAATGTGGCAAAGAGTTTCATGGATAGGCCACAAATTCACAGTAGGAGCCTTCATTAGATTTCCTTAAATATGGTATTATTTAAACCACCTCATGCCAAATAGCCTATACCTGAAGAAAACCAAGTTTCATTAACTGCTGCTTGTATCTTGGCATCAATAATATGAGGCAATGCAGCCTTCTTTAAAGAGCTCAAGCTTAGAAATCACACAGATTGGGTTCAAAACCCAGTATGGCCACTTACTACCGATATGATGTGAGAGGCAAGCTACTTAATGTCTCTGAGCCCTAGTTTCTTCCTCAGAAAAATAAGAACACTGTAATTTCAACCTCATAGAGCTGTCGTGAGTTCAATAAGCTCACATGATCTAAAAAGTATCCTGAACCCAATGTGGCACACAGCAGTCACTCAATAAATGGTAGCTATTAATAAACAATAATGGTGATATTATTTTGGTTAGTGTTGAACTCTGATGAAATTTTTTATAGATAGAGACATTCTGCCATACTATACACTTATTCTATTGATCCAGCCTTAGGCCAGAGCTGATTTTAAAACAGAAAAGCAAATTCCTTGGTAAATTCTCTTTAGGAAATTAAACGGTAGGGTCTATGGACCCAGAGTTCATGCCAACTCTTCGCTTCAGTGTGGACTGTCCATTTGGAGGTTAATAAGGTGATTCCAGAGAGCACTTTATTCCAACACTGGAGTGCCACCGTGAGGTCAGCATTGGTCCTGGCACTATTTACTTCAATTCTGTCCTGATTAAAAGAATATTTGAGTAGTACACTTACATTGTATTGTAGCCTAAAGAGTACCCTCTAGTGACTATTGGTGGCAAAAAAGTACAAAAAATGTAAGAATTTGGATTTCTTGAGTACATGACTTGGATTTTTAAAGTACTAGACTACTGGTAAATCTTGAGAATTTGAAATTGAAAACTCAGCCCCAGAGAAAGCAAGGTTTATGTCTCACTGTGGGAACGGCTTCTGGGTTTGTTATCCATACCCAATCACCCTCTCCTCAACTCACTTTTTAAGTACAATTTCCATTTTATTTTTCTCCAGAGAACAGTCCATCTTCAGTCTTTAAGGACTCAGCTCCCCATATAGGTTTTGGCGGGGGTCATTGGGCAGCACCTGCAGGTTTAATTCGGGGTGGGGGTGTTTGGTCCTTGCAGGCTTCACGAGACCAATTGCTGCCTACTTTGCTATGAATTGCACAACTCACACAGTAATGTAGCTTCACATACAGCTTGGGAAGTACATAGGCATCGACGACGCACACTTCAGAAATATCCCTGACTTTTTTTTTTTTTTTTTTTTAGATGGAGTTTCTCTCTTGTTACCCAGGCTGGAGTGCAATAGCGCGATCTCGGCTCACCGCAACCTCCGCCTCCTGGGTTCAGGCAATTCTCCTGCCTCAGCCTCCTGAGTAGCTGGGATTACAGGCACGCACCACCATGCCCAGCTAATTTTTTGTATTTTTAGTAGAGACGGGGTTTCACCATGTTGACCAGGATGGTCTCGATCTCTTGACCTCGTGATCCACCCGCCTCGGCCTCCCAAAGTGCTGGGATTACAGGCTTGAGCCACCGCGCCCGGCATGAATGACGAATTTCTTAATGGCCTTGTCATTGGCATGCATCGGGCACAGTTCATGCAGCAAATCGGCTGCACATGGCCACAGCCTTCTGTGGCACGACTGTTGTTCCTTCTTTCCTTTGTCGTCTTGGAGGCATGGACTGGAGAGAGGACGACTCACTTTTAAATTAAGATCCTGAAGTTGCAGTTCAGAAGAGTCTAGCTCCCTTTGCAGAGAAATAATAATTCCTACTTCCAAATAACCATTAGGAGCTTCATTCAGGTGTCCCACAAAAATCTCAAACACAATGTATTCAGAATTAAGCTTACTATTAATATATAGTCCTCACACAAACCTAGCCCTTCAGTATTACCCCTTTCCGTGAAAAGGCTCACCCCTACTCAGTCACCTAAGTTTGAGACCTGGGAATTATTTTAGGTTTCTCCCTCTCCTGCTGTCCTTCCACATCCAATCACTTTACCTCCTTAATGTCCTTTAGATTTGCTCCTTTCTCCTTTCCCATAGTCACTGCCTTCTTCCCTCACTAACTACTAATTCAATATTGTCCTGGTCTCCCTGACTCCAGACTCGCCTCCCTTCCGTGTTGCTACTAAAGTGATGTTTTAAAATTAAAACTGCCAGGCACAGTGGCTCATGCCTGTCATCCCAGCATTCTGGGAGGCCAAGGAAGGAGGACTGCTTGAACCCAGGAGTTCAAGACCAGCCTAGGCAACATGGCGAAACCTCTACAGAAATATAAAAATTAGCTGGGCATGGTGGCACATGCCTGTAGCCCCAGCTACTAGGGAGGCTGAAGTAGGAGGGTCACCTGAGACTGGAGAGGTCAAGGCTGCACTGAGCTATGATTGTACCACTGCGTTCTAGCCTGGATGACATGAGACCCTGTCTCTAAATAAATAAATAAATAAATATTAAATTTAAAACTGTTTATATAAAAAAAAAACTGTTTATATAACTGGCTTAACATCCTTTAATGGCTCTCAGCGCCTACAAGATTAAGTTCAAAGTCAGTGTATAGAAAAGGCCCTTCGCAAGCTAGTCCCCACCTACCTGTCCAGCTCTGTTTCTTGCTGCAGCCTCCACTTCCAGCTTTGCTGAGCCACTAGTAGTTCCCCAAACACAACAGGCTGTTTCATGCCTCCTTACGTTTGTTGCTGCTCTTCTCTCTACTTAAATACCTTTACCTGTCTTGTCTAACTGGTCAACACTTTATTTGTGAAGGCTATGCCAGGTTTATCTTCTCTACAGAGTATTTTCTAACTTTCCACAAAGCCCACTCCACCCTGCCACCCTAGAGCAACTTACTCCCTCACTTCCTATAACTTATACTGCAGTGCCTAGAGAATTTCCTAGATCTGTTTGAAAACAGTTCTCTGTCCCTAGCAAACTCAAAGCTACTTGAGACCAAGGACTGTGTCTAGTTCATTTTTGGATCCCTAAGCCTTAGTCCATTCCAGAAACACTGTAAAAACAACCACCACCAAGTTCATTGAACACTAAGCAGGGAGTGGAGGAGGAAAAGTTTTCAAAAACATACTCTTAGGGCATAGAGTGATCACCCTGTTCACAACAAGTTATCCCAGCTAGCTCCCACTGCAGTGTTATGCAGACTTTGTGTTCTCACTTGCTACAGCTGAGAAACCATGTGTGTCTACCAGTCAGACCATACTGGTTTTTAGAGAAATTCCAGTTAAACAAAACCATGATTCAGTTTCCTCACTGCTTATGTTGACAATGCTTCTAAATGGTTTTGTTTTGTTTTTTCCCCAGGAGGAAATGGTCCTTTAATGAGTCAGCTGGACATTGTGAGGGTATGAAATGGTCTAAGTATGACAGTTCCTCTGTCTTCTTTCACCCATTCAGCTAAAATTTATCACAAAGCACCAAGCAAAAGACATAAGGTCCATTCCAAAATTCATTAAGGTTGGCAGCTTCAGGGATCTTTGTCTATTTCATTTCACTTCATTAATTAGACTAGACTTACTGACTGCTTACTTTGAAACAGACTCCATGGAAAGAAAAAAAAAAAATGAAGATAAATGAGATGCAGAAACAGCCCTCAAAAATCTCCAACTCTGTGGACATATATGGAAACATTATTTCAATGGAATAGGAAAAGAGTTAAAATAGAGGTACTTAACAAAGTGGCATGAGAACTCAAAGAAAGATGGACTATGTCAAGGAGGGGACATTCGGGGTAAGTTTCACACAGGAGAGGACATGTCAACTGAGTTTTGAAGAATGTAAGGAGTTCTCCAGAACTCTTTATGGAAGAGAGGACATTCCAAGAAGAAAGAAAAATAAGTATAAAGGTTCTGAGTTGGAAGCAAAGCTGAAATGAGATGAGAAAACTAAAGCTTGAGAGAGGATAGGTAAACTACCCAAGGCCACACAGATGGCTAAGTGATAGGACTGAGTTGAACACAAGCTGAAGCTGTTTATGGGAGGGAGTCATATTTCCTGCGAATGCTGAAGCAGGACAAAACGTTGAGAACCACTGCTTAGGGCCTGACATACAACTTATAGTTCAGGCTACATTCGGTAGACAATGGGAATCATGAGAGGGTTTTTGTTTTGTTTGTTTGTTTGTTTGTTTGTTTTGAGATGGAGTCTCGCTCTGCAGCCCAGGCTGGAGTGCAGTAGCACAATCTGGGCTTACTGCAACCTCCATCTCCTGGGTCCCAGTTCAAGGATTTCTCCTACCTCAGCCTCCCAAGTAGCTGGGATTACAGGCACGAGCCACCATGCCCAGCTAATTTTTGTATTTTTTAGTAGAGAAGAGATTTCACCATGTTGGCCAGTCTGGTCTTGAACTCCTGACCTCATGATCCGCCCACCTCAGCCTCCTGAAGTGCTGGGATTACAGGCGTGAGCCACTGCGCCCGGCCTCATGAGATGTTTTTAAGCAGAGAAGCAACATAGTCACATTTGGGCTTTAGAAATATAATTCCAGCAGGTGGATTCTTAACATTGACTATAATTAGAATCACTTGAGAAGCTTTCAAAAATTACAGGATAGGCCAGGCGTATTTGGGAGGCTGGAGCAGGCGGAACCCGAGGTCAGGAGATGGATACCATCCTAGCTAACACAGTGAGATGCCATCTCTACTAAAAATAAAAAAAATTAGCTGGTTGTGGTGGCATGGGCATTTAGTCCCAGCTACTCGGGAGGCTGAGGCAGGAGAATCGCTTTAACTCAGGAGGCGGAGGTTGCAGTGAGCAGAGATCGCACCACTGCATTCCAGCCTGGGCAACAGAGTGAGACTCCATCTCAAAAAAAATACAGGCTAGGGAACCAGTATAGAACAATTAAAACAGAATTTCTGGGAATGGGACTCAGTTTTCTTATTTGTTTTGAGGCAAGGTCTTGCTCTATTGCCCAGGCTGGAGTGTAGTGGTGTGATAATGGCTCACTGCAGCCTTGACCTCCCAGGCTAAGTGGCCCTCCCAGCTCTGCCTCCCTAGTAGCTGGGACTACAGGTGCACCACCACACTTGGCTAGTTCTTAAAAAATATTTTGTAGAGATGGGGTCTCCCTATGTTGCCCAGGCTAGTCTTCAACTCCTGGTCTGACGTGATCCTCCTGCCTCAGCCTCCCAAAATGCTGGGATTATAGGTGTGAGCCACTGTACTTGGTCTCTTGCTTTTTAAGTTCTTCAGAAGATTCTAATGTATGTTGAGGGTCAAGAACTTTTCTCTAGGAGGAAGAACTGAAAGATGGAAAAAACAATATTAAGAACCTACTACGTCTGAGATTTTGTTCCAAACGCCTTATACAATAACTACAGTATCTATATACATATTAGGATTTTATACGTATCTAGTATCCTGACCCATCTCAACTGTTTTAAGCCCTGTGTGATGAAAAATTATGCTGCTCCTAACCTCAAGGTAGATATTGTAACCCTATAATCCCTAAAATTTGTTGTAATTTTACCAACAAGGAAACTGAGGCACAGACCAGTGAAATAACCCATTCAAGATTATCAAATTACTAAATGACACAATTGGACTCAAACATAAGCCTTTCTGGTGCCCCAAACCCACACTCCTTCCACTATGTACCACTGCCTATGAACATAACTTAACTTCAGAACAATTCCAAAGTAGCTATCATGATCCTCATTTTACAGATAAAGAAATTAGTCCCAGAAAGATTAATGTGAGCAAATCACAAATCACAGCTAATAGATGGAAGAGCTGGGAGAATTTAAACTCAGCCCTATTTAACTCCAAATCCATGCTCACGAAGGTAAAGAATATAGTACATATTCAACATTCAATATAATTCCACTTTCCTCTGAAAGGAAAGCAGCAAGTTGGGTTCTTAGTGTAACATAGAGTATTATTCCTAGTGGCTTCCTCTTCCTTCTTGAGTTTTAGGTGGCTAAACTTCTATTGAACTATCAATCCAAGTCACTTTTTTTTTTGTTGGAGTTGGGAAGGCAGAACTCTGTCATAACCTTCCATGATACCAACCTGGGAAAACTCTAACTCTGGCCAAATCCAGCACTACGCACTTCACACCCTTATTTAAGTGGCTGAATCACGCTAATGTGTCTCCTTTTAGGTTAATTGCCCTGAACCTCAAATGGGCATTCATCGCCCAGAATTATTATTGCTTTTCTTTAGTAAGTTCATTTTCCCACTGTTAGAGAATATTATTTCCTATCACTTCTCTCCTCAGCCCTCCAACACAACCTGATAAAATTCCATCCCACCCCCATTCCATAATCTCCCTTCTCTGTTGCATCAACAATTTATACCTTTCCACTGGGTTATCTGATATAATTTACAAACATCTCCTAGCACCCTTATTTAAAAACATCAAAAACCAAAAGCAAAACCCTCCTTTGAATCCACATCTGGCTATAGCTACCACTCAACTTCTTTGCTACCCTGCTCAGCTAAATCTTGGAAGAGTTGGTTTCATCCATCTCCATTTCACCCCTTCACCAGTCATCTCTGTTCACCAATGTCCCTGAAATTGACATTATCAGGGACCCAAGGGACCTCCATGTTGCCAAATGCAGTGATCTTTTCTGTCTTCAGCCTCTCAACAGCCTTTGAAATAGCTGATCACTACCTTCTTCTTGAAACTTCCTTCTGGCTTTGGTGACACCACATTCCTGGTCTTCCTACCTCACTGGTTGCTTGCTACTTCACTTGCTTCTACTCAGACTTGTTTTACAGGTGTCTCCTCCTCCACCTGATCTCCAAGTATTAAAGTACCACAGGGTCTGTCCTGGGTCCCCTTCTCTTCTCTATTCACACATTTTTTCTAAGTGATCACATTCATGCTCATGCTTTTGGAGATGGGTTTGTTACCACTTACAAAGGGATTAGATTCTACATCAGATCATAAAGAAAAAAAATCTCATAAAGTTGAATTTTTTTTAATTCCCTAAGTCATCCACAAAGCATATAAAATGGTAGTTGTCATTTTATACATGTTAATTTTATATATGGCTGTGGCCATATGTATGTGCCAAACTGAAGAAAAGCACACTAATAAGCCCAACAATTAAGTTTTTCCTAGTATGTTGAGATAGATTAATTTTATTTATTTATTTATTTTTGAGACAGGTTCTCACTCTTGTCACCCAGGCAGGAGTGCAGTGGCACTATTACAAGTCACTGCAGCCTCAACCTCCCAAGCTCAAGCAGTCTTCCTGCTTAAGCCTCCCAAGTGGCTGGGACTAGAGGCATGTGCCACAATGCCTGGCTAATGTTTTAATTTTTGGTAGAGATGGAGCTCTGCCATGTTGCCCAGGCTGGCTTCAAACTTCTGAGCTGAAGTATTCTGCCCACCTTGGCCTCCCAAAGTGCTGGGATTACAGGTATGAGCCACTACACCCGGCCAAAGATAAGTTATTTTTATTGAGCAACAGACGAAGTACTTGGGGACTTCCTATTTTTAAAAAGTAGACACACTTGGGACAGCAAGGCCACCACCCCCGACTATAATAGGGAGTTAAGGGACTGAATCCATCTGAGAAACAGCAGATTCACATCCTCCACCTCATCTCACCTCACACTTGCTTTCCTTGATTGTAAAGAACTCACCCATACAATTTCAAGTATTTCTCATTCTCTTTGGTCGAATACATACTAAATTTTTATAGTTAAATGCTCAGATGGTGTGACTGCTTTTACCATTAATGTGTTGATGATTTGCAAATTAATTTCTCTAGCCCTAATTTTTGTTCCTGAGCTTCAGATTCAGAACCAACTACCTATTTGGATGTCTCCAATTAAAGTCAACTAGATATTGTAATCTGTCTAAAACATAACAATTGATTCCACTCTCCATGACTCACTTGTACCAAAAGTCCTTCTTTCTTAGGCTTTCTTAGCTCAGTAAATGGCACGCCATCTACCCAGCCAAAAAACTAGGAGTGATCTTTGATTCCTCCCTTTCTCTCACCTCTGCATAACATCCGTCAGGAACATTTATTTAGCTCTACCTCCAAAATACATCCTAAATCTATCCATTTATCTCTCTCAGCACATATGCCAACCTAGACAAGCCAGGCTCATCATTCTACTCTGACTAATCTGTTTCCACTCTTAGCTTTTCTATGGTCCATTCTCCTAATAGCCAGTGTAATCCTTTATGAAACATCCACTCATTCATTCACCAAACATTTATTGAAAGTGAACGAGAACTGGGGATACAACAGCAAAGCAAAGTACATCCCTGTGCTCAGGGACTTACATTCCAGAAGAGGGAGAAGCAGTAAATAATTTTGTACAAATGCAATAAATATAAAAAATTAAATGTGATAAACTAAATCATGTTCCTCTCTCCATAAAAATTTTCAAATAGTTTCCCAAGGTGGAAGTCCAAATTCCATACCTTGTAACCTTGTTACAAGATTCTGTGAGATCTGGCTTCTGTTTGTCCTTCCAACCTTATGTGTACTACTCTATCACGCTGCAACTTGGCTCCAGTCACACTGGCATTCTTTCTGTTCTCTCAAGTTCCAAACGTTTTCCCTTCTTCAGTCACATTTCCCCTATCTGGAATGCTGTTTCCAGATCTTGGAAAGGTTGCTTCCTCTTAGCTCAAGTTATCACTTCAACAGAGTGAATTTCGCTAATTCAGCTCCACCATCATTTTCTCTATCAATTACACCTTTTTGTTTCATAGCACTTATTACTTTACAGAAATTGTGCTTATTTGTTAACAATATCTGTTGTCCCTACTAACATGTAAGCTTCGTGAGAAGAGGAATCTTAAGATGTTGTTTACTCAAGTGTCCCTCAAAGTCTAGAACAGTGCCCAACATAAGAGGATACTGATAAATATTTTTTCAAAGAATTTGCGCACGCCTATGGTCCCAGCAGTTTGGGAGATCGAGGTGGGAGGATCACTTGAGCCCGGGAGTTCGAGGCTGCGATTGCGCCACTGCGCTCCACCCTGGGCGACCGAGCAAGACCTTGTTTCAAAAAAGAAAAAAAAAAAGGATAAATAATGACGGAGTACATGATAATTAAATAGCCTAGTCTCTCATCCAGCCAGGTTCCGCCTCCAGGACTCACTGACGCTCGCGCCCTCTTCCGATGCTGCCTGGGGCACAGGAAGTAGTCTGCGCAGGCGCCGCAGAACCGTGGAGCTTTCTGGGTAAAGATGGATGCCCACGATCTCTTTCGCCGGCTCGGCGCGGGGGCCAAATTCGACGTGAGACGCTTCTCGGCAGACGCAGCCCGATTCCAGGTACTGTACCCAAGGGACCGAGGCAGGAGAAGGAGCAGGAATCCGGGAACGAACCCGCTGCTGGGGTAGGCCGGCGCACATGGACACCCGTGGCCTGGCTCTCACCATCCTTGGGGTATTTTCCCTCCTTTTGTGTTGAGCTTACCTGCACGCCTAATCCGTTCAAGCCTTCTGAATAAACTCTTTTAACTATCCTGTTGTAGACTTAGTTGGGCCTGGCACGGAAACGCTCTTTCCTCCCTCTTATTCAAAGCAAAGTGGGAATCCTCCTTTCAAAAGGAACTTTTTCTCCGAACCTGGAGGAAAGGAATTTCGAAAATAGAAACAGCCGAAGATGGAGAAAATAGATTCTCTCACTGTAGTCTCAAGTTTGGTTTGGCTGCGTATACTTGTACTGGGCATGGTTCTTTTCATTGCTTCAGCCCCACGGCTTAAGTAACGAATGAGAAGAGCGATTTAGAAATGGGGAATCTTAACTAGAGAAGTAGTGAGTGATGAATTAGGGGAAGTCAGTTGGGGCCCGGTTGGGGAAAATCTTGAATGTCCACTTTGCTGTTTGGGCTGGGGACTTGCGTATGTGTGTGTGACATGTGTTTCTTCTTTCTCTAACGGGTGAGTATGTAGTCTGGAGCCAGATTATCTGGGTCTAAATGCTAAGTCTGCCAGTTACTAATTTTGAGAACTTCCTCAAGTTACTTAATTTCTGAATGCCTTGGTTTTCTCATCCGTGATACTGCTGTTTACCTTATGCAGTTGTAAATATGAAGCAATTTAATATGTATAAACATGCTTAGAAATCTGCTTGACATTTAGTAAGCATATGTGTTCATTGCTAATGTTAATTTGTTACTATTATGAGGTCAGAGAAGGTCTCTCCAGGTTCCATTTGCCGAAATACTTGGTCAAAGGGTAGAAACGATGGGGTAGTCACTGGACTCATGACTTTACTGCCAGTCTTGCTTGAATGAAAGCAATGGTATTCTTGTCAGTAGGTTTCATTTTAATTTTTTTTGGCTTTAGATAGGAAAAAGGAAATATGACTTCGACTCTTCGGAGGTGCTGCAGGGACTGGACTTTTTTGGAAACAAGAAGTCTGTCCCAGGTGTGTGTGGAGCATCACAAGCACATCAGAAGCCCCAAAATGAAGAGGTAAAAAAAGAGAGCCTAACTGAAAGGAAGAGGGAGCAAAGCAAGAAAAAAAGGAAGACGATGACTTCAGGTTAGTGTTTGATTCCTGTTACTTTTTTCTCTTTAATTTTTTTCAGTTATAAAAATAATACAAGCTTTATGGTTACAAGTCAGATAATAAGGTCATTTGTCAGTCAGTTAATGGCACTCAGGTTGTTTCCAGGTATTTGCCATTAGAAATATTACAGTAAAAATAATTGTAAGTAAAGATACTTATACATAAATCCTTCTGTACAGGTACTGTTATTTCTGCAGAATAGCATCCCAAAGATAGCATTATATGGTGAAAGGGTATGTACACTTTCTTTGAAAAATACTACAGAATGACTTCCTGTGTTCTTGTCAGTGCTGGTGTTTTTTGCCAAGCTAATGAATGAAACTATTTTGTATTTATATTTTCTTGATAACAGGTGAGGTCAAGCATATTTTTGTATGTTTTACTGAACATTAACATTTCACCTTTTGTGAATTGTTTGTTCTTACTCTTGTCCATTTTCCAGAGTGTGTGTGTGTGTGTGTGTGTGTGGTATTTTTTGTCTTGGGGTTATTTGTCTTTTTTTAAAAAAAATCTATAATATTAACTTTCCTAGCCATTTACCTTTTTTTTGGTAAACACTTGGGTTATACAATGATGAAAAGTAAATTTCATTCCTACTGTTTATGTCCAGTCCCTTGTTTTCTCCGGAGACAACCACTGTTAATTTATTTTGTATTTTTCTGGAGATACTCTATGCCCATGTATTTATGCCACACTGAAAAATAAAAACAAGTAACTCTGTATAGTATTTTATATAGTTTATAAACAGGATTACTGCATATACACTGTTGGGAACCTCTCCTACTACCTTCCCCTTTTTTAAAAACAATGTATCTCGAAGGTTGTTTGAAATCAGTAGGAAGTACATTGCCTTCTTCGTTTTAACACATGTATCCCATTGTGTATTGCAAAATTGATTGAGCAAGTTTCTGTGCAATGGATATTTATAGTTTGTTTTCACATTTTTGTTGTAGTTTTTCAGTGTCATTCTACTTATCTTTGCATGTATATCTGTCCCATAAATTCTTAGAAGTGGAATTGCAGAGTTAACCGATAGATTTATCCACCAGAAACATTGCATCTGTAGAAAGTACTTTGCCTTGTTCATTGTAACACAGCTTAGTAGCCCATCATGCATTGTAGGGATGGTCCATGATTGATTTGACACGTTGCTGTGTGATGGATTTAGTGCATTGTTTGGATGCTTTTGCTGTTGACAATGCTGCAGTAAAAGTCATTCTCCTTCCCTGGCTGCAAAGAAGTTTCATAAAACCTTTTATGAAGATTAATAAAAAAAAAAACAACATGCCACAAACTTAGGAAAAAGATTCAAATGTTGGGCCACCAGAAATATACATCTACGTACTTTAACCATTGTGGCAATAAATGTATTTAGGCCATAGATCTATGATAAATGTGTAGTCATGTATCTATTTTTAACTAGAAAATTGAAGAGCTTGTGAATTAGTAATGATTTGGGTCTATTAGTATCAATTGTCTCGTGAAGGGAACAAATTTGTTTTAAAAAAGTTATTCTACTTTGTGATGCTTTCCAGCAAGGTATGAGAAATTTCTCTTTTTGTAAATTTGTCTCTTCATGTACATTGTACCCTTATTGTACTACATTGTACATCTGTATATTGAGGAAATTAGCTCCATGTCTAGCATATTATGTTTACAAATATGTTTCCAGATTGTCATATGTCACTATTTATTTATTTACTTTTTGGCCTTCTGTGCATTACGTTTGTTTTTTAAAAATTCTAGGCTGGGTGCAGTGGCTCACACCTATAACCCCAACACTTTGGGAGGCGAGGTGAGCGGATCACCTGAGGTCAGGAGTTTGAAATGAGCCTGGCCAACATAGTGAAACCCCGTCTCTACTAAAGTAAACTACCTGGACATGGTGGCAGCCGCCTGTAATCTCAGCTACTTGGAAGGCTGAGGCAGGAGAATCACTTGAACCCGGGGGGTGGAGGTTGTAGTGAGCCGGGATCATGCCATTGCTCTCCAGTCTGAGCAACAAGAGCAAAACTCCATCTCAAAAAAAAAAAAAAAAAAAAAAAATTCTAGCCTGTGTGCAGTGGCTCACGCCTATAATCCCAACACTTTGGGGAGGCTGAGGTGGGCAGATCACCTGAGGTCAGGAGTTTGAAAGCAGCCTGGCCAACATGGTGAAACCCTATCTCTACTAAAACCACAAAAAAATGAGCTGGACGTGTAATCTCAGCTACTCGGAAGGCTGAGGCAGGAGAATCACTTGAACACAGGAGGCAGAGGTTGCAGTGAACCAAGATTGCGCCACTGCATTTCAGGCAGATGACAGAGCAAGACCCTGTCTCAAAATAAATAAATAAATAACTTCCATGGTTTTTTATTTGTGGTTTCTCTTTGACTCTGTGGGATTGTATTTGGAGTGAATAGGAAACTAAAAAATTTTTTTCAGCTGTCTAAATAATTGTCTTGATACCATAATTGTCTTAATACCATACGTTGGCATTTTGTCTCATGTTGATGAATTGTCTTACTACCATATGTTGATAATCTATGTTTCCTCCGTTGGATTTTAATACAACCTTAATTATAAACTTAATTTCCATATATATTCAAGTCTGTCTCTGGACCTCTTCTGTTCTGTTTCTGAAGTGTACACCAATACTAGCTTATTTTAATTTCTATGATCTTATATATTATAAAATCCAGTAGAGTGGTGAGGCATACCAATATTTTGGGCAACTCAATATTTTCTTCCCACAGTGATCTACAGAATCATTGCAATCCCAATTAGAATTCCAGCAGACTTTTTTGTAGAAATTTCTGCTAAAGCTTTGGCTATCTTTCTTCAAACATTCTATAATAAGCAGATACTATTTATTCTCTGGCCTTCCAGAAAGTCAACAAGTAAAATGCCTTGAGCATCCAAAAAACCAGGTGCCATTGCCTTTGCTTTTGATTGGTCCACTTTTGCTTTGACTGGACCGCTTCTACCTCTTGGTAGCCTTTTTTTTTTTTTTTTTTTTAATTTATTGTATTTTAGGTTTTGGGGTACATGTGAAGAACATGCAAGATTGTTGCATAGGTACACACGTGGCAGTGTGATTTGCTGCCTTCCTCCCCATCACCTATATCTGGCATTTCTCCCCATGCTATCTCTCCCCAACTCCCCACCCCCCACTGTCCCTCCCCTATTTCCCCCCAACAGACCCAAGTGTGTAGTGCTCCCCTCCCTGTGTCCATGTGTTCTCATTGTTCAACACACGCCTATGAGTGAGAACATGCGGTGTTTGATCTTCTGCTCTTGTGTCAGTTTGCTGAGAATGATGCTTTCCAGGTTCATCCATGTCCCTACAAAGGACACAAACTCATCGTTTTTGATGGCTGTATAATATTCCATGGTGTATATGTGCCACATTTTCCCTGTCCAGTCTATCATCGATGGGCATTTGGGTTGGTTCCAGGTCTTTGCTATTGTAAACAGTGCTGCAATGAACATTCGTGTGCACATGTCCTTATAATAGAACGATTTATAATCCTTTGGATATATACCCAGTAATATGATTGCTGGGTCAAATGGAATTTCTATTTCTAGGTCCTTGAGGAATCGCCACACTGTCTTCCACAATGGTTGAACTAATTTACACTCCCACCAACAGTGTAAAAGTGTTCCTGTTTCTCCACATCCTCTCCAGCATCTGTTGTCTCTAGATTTTTTAATGATCGCCATTCTAACTGGTGTGAGATGGTATCTCAATGTAGTTTTGATTTGCATTTCTCTGATGACCAGTGACGATGAGCATTTTTTCATATGTTTGTTGGCCTCATGTATGTCTTCCTTTGTAAAGTATCTGTTCATATCCTTTGCCCACTTTTGGATGGGCTTGTTTGTTTTTTTTCTTGTAAATCTGTTTTAGTTCTTTGTAAATTCTGGATATCAGCCCTTTGTCAGATGGGTAAACTGCAAAAATTTTTTCCCATTCTGTTGGTTGCCGATTCACTCTAATGACTGTTTCTTTTGCCATGCAGAAGCTGCGAAGTTTGATTAGGTCCCATTTGTCTATTTTGGCTTTTGTTGCAAATGGTTTTGGTGTTTTGGTCATGAAGTCCTTGCCTACACCTATGTCCTGAATGGTTTTGCCTAGATTTTCTTCTAGAGTTTTTATGGTGTTAGGTCTTAGGTTTAAGTCTTGAATCCATCTGGAGTTAATTTTAGTGTAAGGTGTTAGGAAGGGGTCCAGTTTCTGCATTCTGCACATGGCTAGCCAGTTTTCCCAACACCATTTATTAAACAGGGAATCCTTTCCCCATTGCTTGTTTTTGTCAGGTTTGTCAAAGATCAGATGGTTGTAGATATGTTGTGTTGCCTCCGAGGCCTCTGTTCTGTTCCATTGGTCTATATCTCTGTTTTGGTACCAGTACCATGCTGTTTTGATTACTGTAGTATAGTTTGAAGTCTGGTAGTGTGATGCTTCCCGCTTCGTTCTTTTTGCTTAGAATTGAATTGGCTATGTGGGCTCTCATTTGGTTCCATATGAAGTTTAAGGTGTTTTTTTTCCAGTTCTGTGAAGAAGGTCATTGGTAGCTTGATGGGGATAGCGTTGAATCTGTAAATTACTTTGGGCAGTATGGCCATTTTCAGGATATTGATTCTTCCTAACCAGGAACATGGAATGTTTCTCCATCTGTTTGTGTCCTCTCTTATTTCGTTGAGCAGTGGCTTGTAGTTCTCCTTGAAGAGGTCCTTTGCGTTCTTTGTTAGTTGTATTCCTAGGTATTTTATTCTCTTTGTGGCAATTGTGAATGGCAGTTTGTTCTTGATTTGGCTCTCTTTATGTCTATTATTGGTGTATAGGAATGCATGTGATTTTTGCACATTGATTTTGTATCCTGAGACTTTGCTGAAGTTGCTTATCAGTTTCAGGAGATTTTGGGCAGAGACGATGGGATCTTCTAGATATACAATCATGTTGTCTGCAAATAGAGACAATTTGACTTCCTCCTTTCCTATTTGAATGCCCTTTTTTTATTTTTCTTGCCTGATTGCTCTGGCTAGAACTTCCAGTACTATATTGAATAGAAGTGGTGAGAGAGGGCATCCTTGTCTAGTGCCAGATTTCAAAGGGAATGCTTCCAGTTTTTGCCCATTCAGTTTTGGGCAAAATACTGAATGGATATTGGCTGTTGGTTTGTCGTAAATAGCTTTTATTATTTTGAGATACATTCCGTCAATACCTAGCTTATTGAGGGTTTTTAGCATAAAGGGCTGTTGAATTTTGTCAAAGGCCTTCTCTGCATCAATTGAGATAATCGTGTGGTTTTTGTCTTTGGTTCTGTTTATGTGGTGAATTACAGACTTGCGTATGTTGAACCAGCCTTGCATCCCCGGGATGAAGCCTACTTGATCATGGTGGATAAGCTTTTTGATATGCTGTTGCAATTGGCTTGCCAGTATTTTATTGAAGATTTTTGTGTCTATGTTCATCATGGATATTGGCCTGAAGTTTTCTTTTCTTGCTGAGTCTCTGCCGGGTTTTAGTATCATGATGATGTTGGTCTCATAAAATGATTTGGGAAGGATTCCCTCTTTTTGGATTGTTTGGAATAGTTTCAGAAGGAATGGTACCAGCTCCTCTTTGCATGTCTGATAGAATTCAGCTGTGAACCCGTCTGGAACTGGGCTTTTTTTGGGTGGTAGGCTCTTAATTGCTGCCTCAACTTCAGACCTTGTTATGGGTCTGTTCAGGGTTTCGGCTTCTTCCTGGTTTAGGCTTGGGAGGAGGCAAGTGTCCAGGAATTTATCCATTTCTTCCAGGTTTACTAGTTTATGTGCATAGAGTTGTTTGTAATAATCTCTGATGATGGTTTGAATTTCTGTGGAATCTGTGGTGCTATCCCCTTTATCGTTTTTTATTGCATCAATTTGGTTATTCTGTCTTTTCTTTTTTATTAATCTGGCTACTGGTCTATTTTGTTGATCTTTTCAAAAAACCAGCTCCTGGATTTATTGATTTTTTGAAGGGTTTTTTGTGTCTCTATCTCCTTCAGTTCTGCTCTGATCTTAGCTATTTCTTGTCTTCTGCTTTTTTGATGTTGCTCCTCTAGCTCTTTCAATTTTGAAGATAGGGTGTCAATTTTAGATCTCTCCCTACTTCTCATGTGGGTACTTATTGCTGTATACTTTCCTCTAGAGACTTCTTTAAATGTGTCCCAGAGATTCTGGTATATTGTGTCTTCATTCTCATTGGTTTCAAAGAGCATCTTTATTTCTGCTTTCATTTCATTGTTTATCCAATCAACATTCAAGAGCAAGTTGTTCAGTTTCAATGAAGCTGTGCAGTTCTGAGTTAGTTTTTGAATACTGAGTTCTAAGTCTCCCACTATAATTGTGTAGGAGTCTAAGTCTCTTTGTACGTCATTAAGAACTTGCCCTTTGTATCTGGGTGCTCCTGTATTGGGTGCGTATATATTTAGGATTGTTAGCTCTTCTTGTTGCATTGATCCTTTTACCATTATGTAATGTCCTTCTTTGTCTCATTTGATCTTTGTTGCTTTAAAGTCTATTTTATCAGAGATGAGAATTGCAACTCCTGCTTTTTTTTTGTTCTCCATTTGCTTGATAAATCTTCCTCCATCCCTTTATTTTAAGCCTTTGTGTATCCTTGCATGTGAGATGGGTTTCCTGGATACAGCACACTGATGGGTTTTGGCTTTTTATCCAGTTTGTCAGTCTGTATCTTTTGATTGGGGCATTTAGTCCATTTACA